GGACGTCTCTCTCTCTCTCTCTCTCTCCTCCGATTTTCTTTCCATCTCTTTTCCCTAGCTCTTTCTCTCTCTGTCGCCTCTACGATTCCACGTACTGCATCTGCATGTTAAGTTAGATTGGCTCCAAGAGAACTGAACCGTAAGCCACCGGAATATACGTTGTCTTCTCCCTCGCATCTTGGCCTTCTCCTTCTCCTCCTTCGTGATTCCTCCACACACACACAGAGCGTGCAAACATGGCCGTCGCGCACGCACACATCCCCCTGTGTCCCGACACGCGAGCGCGTGTGCACCAATGGTATTTGCATATTTCAAATTATTTCGAGGAAGATGCTAAGTGGAGCGTCGCTTCTGTGCAATGGACCGATCTTCCCTTCATCTTCGTTGCTTCTTTTCTCCGTTCTCCATTCTCTTCCGCCCCCGCAACCCCTCCCATTACCCGTTCTTTCGGCGTCGTTTCGCTTTCGTCCTCTCTCATAAGTACATGAGTGCACACCGATGTCGCGGAATCGATCCCTCGATTCTTTCCCAACTGTGCAACCCCCCCGTGCGTTCTGTCGTCCCCAGCCTCGAAAGAATTAACCGGAGGAGTTTCACCTTGGCAAACAAAGCCGATAGGGAAACGTTCGTCCACCCGTCTTCTTTCTTCTTTCTATCGCCCTCTTTTCTTTGAGCCGACGATACCGATCCGGATTCTTTTAATATCCGATTACCGTCGAATATTTGCCCCGGCGAGTATGGTGGTTGTTGTTGTCGCGCGCGGAATCGCTATTGGCTTAACCGTCGATGATTGGGAGGTGTTTGGAGAGCGCCAATTTCATTCGATTCGGGATGTTTGAGAGATACGAAAGGTAAAAAGTAGGATTATTACTTTTTTTTTTTTTCTCGTGCGTTCAGAAAAGAGAATGACGAGTGCTTTGTAGATTTCTGAGATAGCCTTAGAAAATACACTTTTTCTTTTAATTTATTTGAAAGGAAATTAATTTATTAGTTTTCAAGAGACACGTTCGAACGATTGTTGTAGCGTTTCAAAAAAAGGGAGAGAAAAACACAAAATCGGATCAAATTCTAAGACGGATTCTAGATCACGTTGGCACGATACGATGCATGATGTGTGGTGTAGCCGTCATTTTCCATTAGTGAGTATATTTAATAAAGCTCGTTTGGACGAAATTTTAATAGTGCTTGATTATTCGAATTTTAAGTGAAATCTTATTACTCGAATAACTGTGATTCATCGCTACAATTATGTAAACGTTCCTATAATGTAGCATATATTTTATTCCCTGTTACTGAATAAATGAAGAATTAATTTGGTAAGCATTACGCAGTTATCGTGTTTGCCGTAGATACGTTATTATGTATTTTAAGTGAAAATGTGTTTCGTGGAATCCTCTCATATTAACATGAACTTCTGTTTACTGAGCGAAATATCATACTTGGTGAGAAGGACTGGGCAAATTCCTATTAAAACGACCCGGTTGTACGAAGTTTCTTGTCCCCTGACAATTTCATATAAACGAACTTCTATAACATCTAATTATTAGCCCTCCTCTCGATCAAAGAATCCAAATTAATAGTAGAATCCAATTTTAATTCAAATGTATCTGAAATTCATCCCTGGCTCGTCAACTCAGAATCGGAGTTTATGTCTTTGAAAAGATATTTCTTATTTTCGCGTTATACCGATATAATCCTCGACTTACGATACATCGTACGATGGATCGATTCGTGTAGTCGTTTCACCTTTTTCTACCGTACGATTTGTCGTAAATTTGTTTATTGGCCGCTTCGTTACGATCGCTCTACGAGATAAGTAATATCGTAAACGTTCTTTTAATGTCCGCATCCGGTACTTGGCGCCGATGAAGCGGCTACGATACGTTTATCCATTTACACCGCTATTCGTACATTCTTTCGCGCGGCTATTACGACTCTCGCGAGATTAAGTCAGTCACGGTTTCTGAGGCATCGTCACATTCGTTTTACCGCGTCGCCGTACACTATACTTTCGATTTTAGAAAACCGTTTTTTCTCGTGCAATGAAACGTTATTTTGTTATTAATTTGTTATTCAGGCATTGATCGCTGAGATTATTACTCGGCGATCTTCAATTTAATCAGAGAATCGAAGATCATATTTTATGTTTTCCCTACAAACTATCGTAATAATAGAACGATGAAATAAAAATTAACAATATTATGGTAAATTATTCGACCAAGTTTTACTCCAATTTCTTCGAGTATCGAACTATAATGTAGAAATAGTGAAAAGTTTCGAAGAGTTTCAAGGTTTCCATTCAATCTGATCTATCTCTAGAACAATGCGATTATTAAATAGGTTAATGCCGTAATTGTAAATTGATCAGGGTTGGCCATCGTTTCTAGGCCATGCTAAACGAGAAAATTTCAATCAACACATGACGGTTGGCCAGCTGGCCTGCTCGTAGTTTCTATATTTTGCGCAAACGTCGATGGAACTGGAATGGAATGGTAGCTGTACGATGTTGATGTCGTAATTCGTGTTGACCAGCACCGCGTTCACCGTGGGTATGTTCAGCTTATTGGCCAGATCGTCTTCTTGAAATTCTCCGGTTATCGGGTTCATTTGAGAGCAACGTGTTTTCGCCAGCACACACGCGGTCGTGTTCACGTATAATTGGGCTAACTTGACGTCCGTCACGTTGAAATTGGGGAACATTCTTACGGCCTCGCCGACGCATTCCCTGAGCTGTGCGAAATATTTGTCGATGAACCATTTTGTTTTTTGCTCGAGACGCAATTTGCAGTATATCGCAATAATCGAAGAATTCAATACCAATGCGGTTTTCTAATTTCTAAAAAGCATCTTTTATCATTTGCAATAAATTTTTACTTGCAACAATACTACTACATTCAGAGGATTGATTCCAGAGACGAAGACGAAAAATTTCATTTACATTTTTGTATTCGTTGAATTCCTCTTTGAGAGTTGAATCTCCAGTGCTGTTTAACAGTTCACAGTGTATTATTACAGCGGAAGAGAATAGGCAATGTAAATAAGTAAAATGTGATAGATTCAATGCAAGATTGTACATGGATATGAATGATGTAAAGGAATAATGATTAATGATCAGAATGAGAGAGAGTAGAAAAGTAAATGTTGCATTCCACATTCAAGTTAGTATCGTGTATATAACAAAATTGCAATAATAATACATATATACATATACTTACTAGATTTCGTTTCGTAGGCATTTCGAATCGAGTGATATGTACAAATTCATCGTGTATCTATGTACAATTCGGTTGTTTCGAAACAGTAAGATTTTGTGATTTAATTTTCAATTGTCTAGGATCGATGGGTTCAGCTCCTGGCCTTACGGTATTCGATTCTGTATTCCGTTCACGTATGATGCAAACAGCATTCACAAATTTCTTGTATAACTTAAAATAAAATATCGATACTTTTCTGGAAGTCGTCCTCAGGTTTGATCTTGTTCTTGGTTTAACTCGTGCATCCTATTTACAATTGCTTTTTCTTTATATACGAATTATTCGCGAATAAAATAACAAGATCGTTTTTTCTTCTATCTGTTCGAAGCATGCAAAAAATATTTTAAAGCATTTCGCTAAAAAAAAATTGTACCATCTACTCACCAAAGTATCCTTGTTTACTTGACGAACGCATTCGAGAAACGAGCAATATATCGTCGTGGCACTCGTTCTTGAATTCATCATGCTCGTAGCGTTCTGTTGCGAAGATAGAAATGAATAATCGATACAAAATTTTATGGATAAATTTCGTAAAACTTACTCTCAAGTACTGTTGACAGTGGCCATAATCGGTGTTATTCAGGTAAATATCGGCACAATTCGAGATAGCCATTAACAAAGGGTATCCAACGGTTTGACTGGTAGCCCTGAAGAAGCATCCGTAACACGCGTCTCGACGAGTTGTGTTTGATCCTTGCGATTGATTACACAATTGATTCAATAATTCAGGAATCCTCACGCTACAATCCATACGATAAAATTTACGATCAAATTGATGAATCGATTTACTATGTAAAGATTGATTGCTGAGAAAAAGCTTACTTTTTAATGCCGGTTATAGATCCTAAAAATTTAGATAAACCCTCCTGTACTAGCGGTTCCACCAAGTTGACAGACACGAGCAATATTAAAACAACGGATACACGTAGTTTCACCATCGTTATCCAACATTCATTGGTCATTTGAATGGGTATCCGTTCATGCTAGATGCTTTATATCATAGATGAATCTGATAGGAAGATCCGGGGACGTATAGCTTCCGGCAAATAAGCTTTGAGATCTCTATTTTTAGAGAAAACACCGTTTCAACGTTCTATAACGTCTGTATTGTTTTGTACAGTGATTTCAGTCCTGTTACAATTCGTAATTATTCAGGAACAGGATATCCTATATAAATAATAGCGAGATCTCTTATGTGAAAATTCACTTGATTGTTGTGTTGTTCTTGTTCCATCATTAATTATTATTATCCATTATAATAATAATTAAAGGGAATTTTGTTACAAATCATTTCTATTCAATATCACGAATTAACACGATTTATTAACAGTGGGTATTAAATTATTTATGAATATTCTTAATGTGAGTTATCAAATTCAAGAAGAAAGAATTGCAACAAAGTTAACTTTTTATCCAATAAATCGTTATTTTATATATACATAAGTATATTCAAAGATACTTATTTAATTTATCCTTCATACAAATTTAGAATAATAATTAAAAAATTTTATTCAAAAAAACAATTTCACATATAAAATACGTCTAATAGTAAGACAGTCGTCCCTCGTCTGATCATTGGACAGAATAATCTACTGCAAACTATACTAGTTCATCTATAGAAAATTTTACCATTCTATATCTTCGAACGCATCGATGATTCAATAATTAATACACGAATATACGAGATACGTCTCGAACGTCATTATATTTTTTACAATTCATTCATCGTTACAAAAATTTCTCGCGTTCCAACTTTGTTTTGGTTAGAACTGTAATAATTCTCATTACCTGTGCGATCGTGTAGAAGCACGTCGACGACACGCCGTTGGGCGTCGTTGTCCGGTAAAAATGAACCATGGACGAGAGATCTGGGACGATGGAAGTCTCGGTGATGGGCGACAGCTCTCGTCGTTCACGGCACCAGCGAAATCGGCCGGTTTCGCGGATGCGATCGGATCTGTCTGACACGATTATTACGTGACGATATGAGGGAACCTCGTGTCGCTCTGGAAACGCGGTTGTATTCAACGTGGAGAACTATACTGGACCTCCATGGAGCATTTTTCCCGCGTGACGTGGCGTGTCGAGATATCGAATAGTTTTATTTCACGATGGAATTTTCGTTCGACGGCAAGCTGTTCGAAGAACAGCTTTATTTATTCTCGTTTTAATGAGAATGAAATCGTTCTAAAAATAATAAAAGTATGCGGAATGATTTAGGTTTTGAATCGTTGTTATTTTTTTCCTTCTATCTTTCGAAATACTCGCTCGATAAGCAAGCTACTTAAATGATATTTTACTTCCATTTCGATGAGGATATTATTCTAAAATGGGCAAAAGATAGGCAGATTGCCTGTTAAGAAATAATTACTATAAAAATGAATCAATATATTAAAGAATGGAGATGAGATATTATTTTTTGGCTCATTCTTTAAAAAAAAAAACCGTCTTATTTATATTTGTTCATCTGATTACTACGATTTTTTTTTTTTTAACTATTTGTATTATTTATTTGCGGTTGTACGGTTCCGTGTTATAAAACTCGTTACTACCCTCTTGAAATTGGCTCCCTTGTTGCACACCCGAGCCACTTAAGTGTATCCATATCCTTTGCCACATTACAATTAGGGGGAAACGAATGTTACACCTGGGTCTTATAATTTTCTGCGCTTTCGTATCTAATATCGTCATTTTTTTGCTTACTTTTTAGCCTCCCTTTATGCTCACCTCTATAAACATACACTTACTTTCGAGAAAATAATCATTTTCACATTCCCCTCTACTCGTTCGAAACGTGTTGAAAATCGACCAACAACAACAAAATTATCGTTCTTTCTCATGATGTATCACGATATATTATGCCAAAAGTATTATTAGAAATTATTAGGAATATCGACATTTATGTCGAAGCTTAAGATTACGCGTATTATATCGATGTAAATATGAAAAACAAGGATACGGAATAAAAATATTAAGGCAGTAAATATCGTTGAAATAATAACAGATAAGTGAATTGCAAATGGATCGATTATCGATTCCCTCTTCTGAAATGTAGATATAGATGAATACAAAATTTAAGATATCTCGTACAAGTATCATTTTGCTTGCGATTCAATCGATACTGCTTGGAGAAGCATCGCGAGATCCATTATTAATAGTCGGGCGAAAAATGAATAAGCATCGTGGTCGAGAAGTTCTCTAATTTTGAGGAAAGTGGGGCATCGTGTGCGTCCGAGACGACACACGTGCCACGGTTATTTATACGGCAGACGGTCGGGCAAGAAAGAGGCGACGTTTAGGACATGCGCGAAAAAGGGGCAAAAGAAGGAGCGGGATGCGACTGAGAAACGGTAGAAGAGGGATGATGGAGGAATGGAAACGGTGCAATCCCGATGGAACCAGAATTAGAATGACTCACAGGATTATTTGTGTTTATGTAATTCGAGAAATTCGACACGGTGGAGGGGCGACGGTGACGTTACCAGCTGTGTGTCTACTCGCGCTTGAACCGGCCGAGTTTTTAACATTGGTTTTCGGTACGGGTGCACCGTGACGGTGTCACGTTGCACCTTCGATTTTTCGAAATTAGATTTTAAGATCTAATAGCTGGATCCATTGTTTGTCCACTTCTTTTTTTTTTTTATTTATTTTTCACGATTTTTAAACGTGGAATCAATACGACATTAAATTACGCCCTGTCACGACAATCAAAAAAATGAGAAAGAACGAAGATATTGCGCTGATACTTTCAAAAAAGAAAAAAAAAAAGAAAAATCGATTTCTTCCGAGATGAATTTGAAAAATCATCATCGCTCTACTTGTTGTCACTCTCTTTCGTTCGATATATCAAAATTACTATTATGCGACATGACAGCTGTGCACTCTCTCCTCCAAATTTCTTCCCCATCCGGTCGGTCAAGCTTCGGGATTCCACTGGTAAAGAGCAATTAAACCGTACTCGGCCACCCTCCTTCGAGGTCGGCCTCGATGACAGCTGCATCTCGCTGTCAATCAGTGTCCTCTTCTCGTTTCTGCGGGCGGTCAATTAAGTTGGACGGTAACTCAATCCTTGCGGATGTCCCCACCATTTTATTTCGAGTCTCACGAGAATAACGAGGTGTGGTGGTAACTCAATTTCACGAGGCGTACGCGAGCTGTTTTTGTCAGCGACGTTTATTCTCGGCCCTCGTTCCCGGATTTACCGAATAAATAAGCTTTTCTAGTCGGATCGGCGGGAGGGGAGGAAGGTCCACCGAGTTGGAATAATTTAATCGCACGTTCGAACGTATATATATATATGTACTTGTAATACCGATCCCAAGGATCGTTTGTAACCGGCTCCCTATGCTAAGATAAAGTGGCTGCATTTATTTCGCGATCCGTTTGAACAGGTTGACTGGAAGCGCTAAGTAACTTAAGTGCAAACGTATTCGGATCTTGATAAATCTATAACCCCCCCCCCTCCCCTCCCCCGGTTATTTACCCACGACACGTTGACAACCGAATAAATCGATATCTCGGGCGAAATAAGGGCACACTTAGCTTTTCAGGGAAAACGAATTTTGTGATACGAGGGGGGGAAATGTATGTCGATAGTCGAATTTATGCATAAGTAAAGAAATGTTATACAGCTAAGTTTTTGAGATATGGAAGAAATTCTTCTATCTCAACATACACTTATTAAATTACGCATGATATTTATGCATTTATGCAAAATTTGAATGCAAAATGACGTGGGAAAAGATTCAAAGTATGGTATTATAAAATTTAAGGAATAACGTAATGTAATCATCGTTTGATTTAATTAAAAATTTTATTTTACGTATTCTTCGGGTAAACATTCAAAAATCGTAGGTGAGATTAGAAGATCGTGGATGGATTCATCATCAGGCTTTGACATTTGTACGATAATGTCTTTTGTTAAGAATTAGAAAATTGAAGTATGCACAAATTGCTCATTTGCTGCGACAATCATACAACTTAAAAATTACGACTTTAGAAAAGATTTCAAATTTTTAATTACGTCATTATTTCAGCAAATAAGTGATTATATATTATTCATCGTATTTTTTACCGCGTAAATTCATCCTCTAAGATATATCGACATCTATTTTTTTTTGAAGGATCATTTTGCCAGACTTCGAAATTTGTCTCGATAAAGCAATTAGGCCCAGCGTCTTACGGATTGAGCGTAAAGGGCTAAAGGTTTCCTTCTTGGCCGTACAAATAAAATCAGTGTCCCCCAGAAACCCAACGGTGCGCTCATTTCTGGGGATCCTTTCAAACGTAGGAAGATCTGTGTTTAGGGGGTGTCATCGCCACTGGATACTTTCCAATTACGTTGGACAAGATTTCGTAGGTTCGTTGATTCGTGGATAATCCGCGCTTTGGTGCTCCTTATTGGATTAGGGGTCGCAGCGAGCGGCCAAATGACGGAGCGTATTTCGAATTAAAATTCTTAATTATGGGACAAGAGTGGGAGAAAGTTGGCCCGTGCTTTTACGAAGGTTTTTGGAAGGTTTTGTATATCGAGGAGGATCACACACGCGTAACCTCGTGAAATTGGATGACGGATAATTGAAGCAATAATTGAATAAATTTAATTTTTCGAAGTAATTCGTTCGTCTACTATTACTGTTTCTCGTTCGAGGTTGTAAAACGGTGCAACATGGAGAGCAAGACTGTTATGTTTAAATACAACGAGGAATTATGAGACACGGCTAACTTAGTCTTCGGTTTAATGAACCGTGATTAATATTTCACCGTCCTTTCGAGTGTTACGTGATGAGTTTGAACACGATTAGCGTTACGGTGGAATCTGTCGATGCATAATTAAACAGAGACTGTAAGTGAATGAAAATGGAGCAACGAGGAGAGATCAAGTTTGAACGTTTTATCGGGTTTCATTTTTAATGTATGCACCCGTTTCGTCGCGAAATTATACTATGTGTGAATCGATCAAGACGGATCGATTAAAACACTTGCAATAATTCAACAGGCATCTCCTAACAAATCAAGTCTCAAGTCTCCATTCTGCTAATTCATTAATCGGAACCATCTTCATCCATTTTTAACAC